TCGTGCGGACTACCGCCAACCTTTAAAGTGTACTAAAGCAGCTAGATCTGGATGGCCGTGCGGCCAGGAAGTAAAAGAACATCAAGCTCTCACTTGATGATTTGACTATTTTAATAAAAGAAATGGGTACTAAGAAAGGACCAACTGATATTGCCTCCACTTCAGGAAGTAAAACAGTTGATCAAAACATTCTTACTCATATTCAAAGACCTCCTGAGATTCAGGATTTTAAATTTAAATCTCTTGATGACTTAGCTCAGCTTTTAGATAAAAAGCTTTCTGGTTTAAATATTAGACCTATTGATTTATCAAAAAAATTTGCTGATAAAATGGAGACCNAAAAAACTTTGCTGATAAAATGGAGACCGTTTCTGATTATAAAACTGAGACTATTAGCTCTCACTATATAAAATATATACAAAATGGACTATCACTATACAAAATAGACTGTCACTATACAAAATAGACTGTTACTATACAAAAAATATACAAAAATAGACTATCACTATACAAATAGACTGTTACTATACAAAAATATACAAAATAGACTGTCACTATGCAAAAAATATACAAAATAGTCTGTTATTATACAAAAAATATACAAAAATAGACTGTTATTATATAAAAAAATATACAAAATAGACATTTCTTATATGACCTGCATTACATATTTCATTCAATTGTTAGCTAATACTTATCAGATCCAGAAGTACATTTAAAAAGGCAAAAAAGGTTGTTCTATTGTGCCAGGTAGGGGTCGAACCTACGACCTTTGGCTTAGGAAACATGCGCTCTATCCACTGAGCTACAGGCGCTTGTGTTGTCATGCTTATTCCTTTCGGCTACTATATGCAATACGTTTGGGCCGAAGGGCCATTTTTTGTAAGTAGGACAAAACATGGGCTATTAAAATTTTGAGAGGCTATAGAGGGTAGTTTTCTTGACTAAAGAGTAAATACATTTTTAAACAGTGGCTAAAGAGTAAAGACATCTCTAATTAGTGGCTCCGTCTACTATGGGCCCAGTCCTGTTTAACAGTTACTGGCTGGGATGGGACCAAGACCGAGATGGGTAGGGCTGACCCGTCCCGTTGGAGGGGAAAGTGCACAGTTAGCCACTAATTAGAGATGTCTTTACTCTTTAGCCACTATTTAAAATGTATTTGCTCTTTAGCCAGTGCTTAATAAATTTTTATCCGCCCGAACGAAAATACCTTTGTACTAGACATGAGTGCTGTGTAAATATTAAGGACATGGTGTCCTTAACTTCATGAATGTTGTGTAAAATATTAAGGACATGGTGTCCTTAACTTCATGAATGATGTGTAAATATTAAGGACAAAGTGTCCTGTCAAGTCCTTAACTTCATATGTATAGTGTAAATATTAACGACATGGCGTCCTTAACTTCATGTGTGCAGTGTAAATGTTAAGGATACCATGTCCTTAATATTTACACAACACTCATGAACAAAGGGTAAAAGCATCTTTTCTATTATTTTTAATGCAATAGTGACTATTTTGCTCAATATTAAAAATACTCCATAAAAACTAAATGCCATATTAACAATAGTTCTACCCCTTTGGACTGTTAGGATTTGTCCTGAATTTCTAATCAATTAGGACTCTCTTTCTTAAAGGAATGGAAAAAGACTCCTAAAAGGATTAAATTTCCTTAATATGTCTTATCCTTTTCTTGGAAGACAAGTTTTGCATATCTATAAATTAAGGATCTCTACTTCTCACAATAGTACAACAAAAATATCTACAATGTAGTCATTAAAGAGTTTGTTTAGGGAGAGAATTTTCTCTCGAGAGTTTTTCTTCTTTTATATTAGTTTTATCATATATAGATCAATTGCCCAAACCATTATAAACTATTATGCTTAGTTTAGTATATTTTTCTTTTGTCGTCTGATTTATCGTCCACCAAGCTTTGTATTGTTAGTTTCCGCATGCACCATGTTATTTCGATCCCAACAAGTGGTATCAGAGCCAATGATTCAGAGTCAACGGTTGAACGAGGTTGAAGACAGATACAATGCGTGTTTAGATCAGGACGATAATGAAGATTTATTCAACATACTACATGTGGATATAAATTTACAATCACAAATGTATTCAAAACGCATGCTGCTGCATCTCTCTTTTTAACCCATATTTTGGCCACTTTTAACCAATGCCATTTTTAAGTCATGCATACTTGTAACGCATGAGTTCCAATGCCGGTTTTAACTCACGCTTCTTTTTAATGCATGAGCTTCTTTTACCCCATGTTTATTCTTAACACGTGAGATCCTTTTAACCCATACTTGGGCTTCTTCGAATCAATATCAAGATTTTCAACCTTTACCGATTTTTAATCATGGCAAGCAACAGTGACGAAGATTATGTGAAGAAGGTGAATCAACTTTGTCAAGAAAATTCAGGCCAAGGGGAGATTGTTAGGATTTGTCCTGAATTTCTAATCTATTAGGACTCTCTTTCTTAAAGGAATGGAAAAAGACTCCTAAAAGGATTAAATTTCCTTAATATGTCTTATCCTTTTCTTGGAAGACAAGTTTTGCATATCTATAAATTAAGGATCTCTACTTCTCACAATAGTACAACAAAAAATATCTACAATTTAGTCATTAAAGAATTTGTTTAGGGAGAGATTTTTCTCTCGATAGTTTTTCTTCTTTTATATTAGTTTTATCATATGTAGATTAATTGACCAAACTATTATAAACTATTATGCTTAGTTTAGTAAATTTTTCTTTTGTCGTCTGATTTATCGTCCACCAAGCTTTGTATTGTTAGTTTCCGCATGCACCATGTTATTTCGATCCCAACAAGTGGTATCAGAGCCAATGATTCAGAGTCAACGGTTGAACGAGGTTGAAGACAGATTCAATGCGTGTTTAGATTAGGACGATAATGAAGATTTATTCAACATACTACATGTGGATATAAATTTACAATCACAATTGTATTCAAAACGCCTGCTGCTGCATCTCTCTTTTTAACCCATATTTTGGCCACTTTTAACCAATGCCATTTTTAAGTCATGCATACTTGTAACGCATGAGTTCCAATGCCGGTTTTAACTTACGCTTCTTTTTAATGCATGAGCTTCTTTTACCCCATGTTTATTCTTAACACGTGAGATCCTTTTAACCCATACTTGGGCTTCTTCGATTCAATATCAAGATTTTCAACCTTTACCGATTTTTAATCATGGCAAGCAACAGTGACGAAGATTATGTGAAGAAGGTGAATCAACTTTGTCAAGAAAATTCAGGCCAAGGGGAGATTGTTAGGATTTGTCCTGAATTTCTAATCTATTAGGACTCTCTTTCTTAAAGGAATGGAAAAAGACTCCTAAAAGGATTAAATTTCCTTAATGTGTCTTATCCTTTTCTTGAAAGACAAGTTTTGCATATCTATAAATTAAGGATCTCTACTTCTCACAATAGTACAACAAAAAATATCTACAATTTAGTCATTAAAGAATTTGTTTAGGGAGAGATTTTTCTCTCGATAGTTTTTCTTCTTTTATATTAGTTTTATCATATGTAGATTAATTGACCAAACTATTATAAACTATTATGCTTAGTTTAGTAAATTTTTCTTTTGTCGTCTGATTTATCGTCCACCAAGCTTTGTATTGTTAGTTTCCGCATGCACCATGTTATTTCGATCCCAACAAGTGGTATCAGAGCCAATGATTCAGAGTCAACGGTTGAACGAGGTTGAAGACAGATTCAATGCGTGTTTAGATTATGACGATAATGAAGATTTATTCAACATACTACATGTGGATATAAATTTACAATCACAATTGTATTTAAAACGCCTGCTGCTGCATCTCTCTTTTTAACCCATATTTTGGTCACTTTTAACCAATGCCATTTTTAAGTCATGCATACTTGTAACGCATGAGTTCCAATGCCGGTTTTAACTCACGCTTCTTTTTAATGCATGAGCTTCTTTTACTCCATGTTTATTCTTAACACGTAGGATCCTTTTAACCCATACTTGGGCTTCTTTGAATCAATATCAAGATTTTCAACCTTTACCGATTTTTAATCATGACAAGCAGCAGTGACGGAGATTATGTGAAGAAGGTGAATCAACTTTGTCAAGAAAATTCAGGCCAAGGGGAGATTGTTAGGATTTGTCCTGAATTTCTAATCTATTAGGACTCTCTTTTTTAAAGGAATGGAAAAAGACTCCTAAAAGGATTAAATTTCCTTAATATGTCTTATCTTTTTCTTGGAAGACAAGTTTTGCATATCTATAAATTAAGGAACTCTACTTCTCACAATAGTACAACAAAAAATATCTACAATTTAGTCATTAAAGAATTTGTTTAGGGAGAGATTTTTCTCTCGATAGTTTTTCTTCTTTTATATTAGTTTTATCATATGTAGATTAATTGACCAAACCATTATAAACTATTATGCTTAGTTTAATATATTTTTCTTTTGTCGTCTGATTTATCGTCCACCAAGCTTTGTATTGTTAGTTTCCGCATGCACCATGTTATTTCGATCCCAACATGGACAGCCCTGAGTTACAGTAAGTCAGTAATTTTCCTACTTCATGGGAGGAGAATCTGGAAAAGTCATTGTATTATTTCATTCGAAGCCTTTAACTGGATCAGTACGACTTCTCGCGAGGTGGATTTGAGTTTACTAATTGTTTGATGAGCAAAAGCCAATTGCCATATTCTTCCTGAGTGATGCTTTTTACTATGATATGATGCTCCGCGACAAAACTTAGACAGCAGAAAGTGGGGAGTGTTTGTATTTGAAGTTTCAGTTATGTATTCGCAACTTTAGAGCCCAAAAACTTGTCAGAAGAAAGTGCAACAGGACGAATATACAAGTAGGATACATTGACGTTGTTGGAAGCAGGGGAGGAAAAGGAACTAAACGCACATTTCTTTAGTTTCATTACATTGCAAAAAGATCATACTTCGGATTTGATTTTGCCAAGTTCTCATCCTAGTTTCCACGGCACTCTTCTTCGTTCGGGTGTCTTCAACAAGTGGGATTAAAAGTTCTCTCTTTGATTTTCATTGTTTGACTCTGAATGATACTTTGTAAGACATTTCACACTAGTGAAATTCCCTATCTTTACCTTTTCAGTCATGAAAAATGCGGCTGCTGCCGTCAAAACGTCTTTGCTAAACCAATCAGATACTCGTACCATTGCCAACTTTTACGCAGTCCAGCTCCAACTTCTTTGCCGAGAGAAAAAGTATGCCAGCTCAGCTTTTGCTCTTGTTCGATCAATCCATGGCAACATGATTACCTCCGGATTCAGGCCACGAAGCCACATCCTTAATCGCTTAATCGACATTTACTGCAAAAATTCCGGCCTTGCGTATGCAAAGCACCTGTTTGATAGAATTCCCCAACCAGACGTCGTGGCAAGAACAACAATTATTGCTGCATACTCTGCTTCCGGTGACCCCAAGCTTGCAAGAGAGGTTTTTAATAAAACCCCATTAAGCATCCGCGACACTGTTTGTTACAACGCTATGATTACAGGCTATTCACACAACAATGATGGCCATGCTGCTATAAAACTATTTCTTGATATGAGGTGGAAAAGTTTTCAGCCTGATGAGTACACCTACACCTCGGTGCTTGCAGCTTTAGCCCTTATAGCTGATCATGAAATGCACTGCGGGCAGCTGCATTGTGCTGTTGTGAAGTCGGGCATGGCGTCAGTTAAGTGCGTCGTCAATGCACTTATATCAGTCTATGTAAAATGTGCTTCATCACCCATAGCGTCATCCGTGGTGTTGATGGACTCAGCAAGCAAATTATTTTATGAGATGTCAGAGCGGGATGACTTGTCCTGGACTACGATTATCACAGGGTATGTGAAGAATGATGACCTTGATGCTGCTCGGAAGGTGTTTGATGGTATGGATGAGAAGTTGCTTGTGGCATGGAATGCAATGATCTCTGGCTATGTACATAAAGGTTTCATCTTCGAAGCATTAGATATGTTAAGGAAAATGCACTCAGCAGGGTTGAAGCCAGATGAGTTTACCTGCACTAGTATCCTCAGTGCTTGTGCCGATGCTGGATTGTTTCTTCTAGGAAAACAGGTGCATGCTTATGTTAGACGAACAGAAGAGGAAATTCATGTGTCTGTGCATAACGCTTTAATAACATTATATTGGAAATGTGGTAGAGTCGACGAAGCAAGAAAAGTTTTTGATAATCTAGCCTTTAAGGACCTTGTTTCGTGGAATGCAGTTCTATCAGCATATGTAGGTGCAGGGCGGATTAATGAAGCTAAATTATTCTTTGATGAGATGCCAGAGAAGAATTCTCTGGCATGGACAGTAATGATATCAGGATTTGCACAAAATGGAAAAGGGGAAGAAGCACTTAAACTGTTCAACCAAATGAGACTACACGGGATCGAGCTGTGTGACTATGCATTTGCAGGAGCTATTACATCTTGTGCAGTGCTTGCAGCACTAGAAACTGGATGCCAACTCCATGCTCAGCTTATCCAGCGTGGATTTGATTCAAGCCTTTCAGCTGGAAATGCATTAATAACATTTTATGGAAGATCTGGGGTCATTGAAGCTGCACGTACTGTGTTTCTCACAATGCCTTGTGTAGATTTGGTTTCTTGGAATGCATTAATTGCTGCCTTGGGA